GACAACAGTTGAATTAATATTCCTGTGGAGACATTGTATGGATGTGGAAATCTTTCAAGCCAGTGATGCCTCCAGGATTAGTATTATACTACCTTTCAGCACTTGAACATGGAATGTACTGGCCTACAATTTTTGCCCTGGGTGGTTACTCCAAATGAACATATTAACAGTGTTCAACCCTGAAAATTGTTTCTTATTCTTGTATAAAAAATAGAATCTGTTTTCAATAATTACTTACTTATTGACAGCTCTTTTTATGTTAATAACTATAACTTTAATAGAATGACATTCTCATTGACAGAAATCACTAGTAAGGTTTTCTTAATCAACTTTATTAGAGCCTTTTTAAAATTAAGTGCTGAATGTATTTCCGCAGTTTTGATGAGAAATCTGCAGCAAGTCAAATAAAAGCGTACAAAAGTTAATTTTGTATTCTCATCCAGGAACTGGATTAATTTCTTTTTATTCACTTTTTATTTGCCCTCAAATGGTCTTTCAAATGGCAATAAGCTAAATATCATTCATTTCTAGGTATTCCTGCAATGCACAAATTCAGATAATGGTTCATTTTAAAGACAAAGAAAAGCAGCTGTTTTTGCACAATCATCTCATCTTTTTCCCTGCCAAGTAGTGATTTAAATGCTTCTGATTACATCCTCATCAGCCACTTGTTGTTACTATTTTTTAGCACTCACCCTTTTTTTAAGCTAAAGAAATTCAGTTATAAACTTGTTTTATAACCTTATTCTAATTATTTGCCTTTGAACACAAAGGTTGCAATCCCATGAGCTCACCTCCTCTATATCACGCCAAAGGTTTTTGGAAGCCAGTTCATAGGCCTTTCAAATATCTTTCAGCAGAAAGGGAATGTTTTTATCTCCTGTCATTTTGAAGTGTTCAGGTTAGTACAAAAACGACAGGTAAAATCAATTTTTACTTGAAGGTTTTCTTTGACTATTTTAGTTGGGGAAGACATTCTTTTTCAAAACAGCTATTTCAAAAGGAAATTTGCAATCCTCTCTTGATCTAATCTATCTGCCACTGTGTCTAGAGGTACTGAAGCAATTTAAAAAGTTGTGGGGTGAAAAAGTCTTAGGATGTGATAAATTCACAGTGGTCTCCAAGGCTTTTGTAAGTAAAATAGCTTTGCATGATAGTAAGTACGGGGTGGATTCTTTGGTACCAAGATTGTCGTCATCTTTTAAGCTTGTAATCTTCTCACTTTAAACCAAAAAAAATTGAATTTCATCAACTTCTGCACTTTCAAACCGATAACTAATTCAAAGTGAAGAAAAACATTAGGTTGCTTAGCTGATGGTATTTGAGAGTCATTTTGGACTGCTGACAGCGACTCTTCATCTGGTTGTTATTTTGGAAAATACAGCAATATTTACTGGACATTATGATACGCCCTTACTTGAACCTACAGTGATACATCTGAGACTCATGTGACTAGCAGGTACCGAGCAGTGAGTCATGATGCTCTGATTAGCTTAATTGCACTGTCTAATCAGCCCAGTCTTGTTTTCATTACCGCGTAACATTCACTTGTTTTATGGCAGCTACATGTGACTGCATGAACAAGTTGTTCTTCTCTTGGCTTCTCAAAAACTACTTGTGAACCATTGCCTGTTCCCAAGAGCTCATGCAGTTTTGTTGCTTTTTGAGGCTATTTTTTTGTGTGTGTGTTTGTTTTGTTGTGTTTTTAAGAGAATGCACATAAGTAGTGAGCTTCATTAATCAGTTTATTTTGATGGAAAGCTGTGCTCTACTGGGAATGTCTTGTTCTTTGGCTTTCCCTGATGTGTTCTCTTGAATGCGTCTTATGAGAGCTTAAAGAAGGGCTGACATGTCCTTTCCACGTTATTTCTGCATCCCTAGGGAAGTCAGGTTTACCTTACACTACATATTAAGCCAAATTTGGTTATTCCTTTAAGAAAGGAAAACTTGGGCAGTGTTAAATTAGTCTCACATTTTAAAGAACAACAGGAAAAGAGTTTTCTGCATCCTCCAAGGCAAAGAATACAGATGCTGTAGAAATAAGTGCCTCAAAGCAGCATGTCTGGACAAGCTTGAAAGGTGTACAGCGTGAATTCTTGTTCTCTTTTTGAAAGTTTGAGAGCAATTGGGTTGGTGGGGGGAGATCCTGATCTGCAGAATCATGAACACGTGCTGGATGTGTATGTGAGTGTATAAAACAAAAGAGGTTTATCTTTCAATATTGACACACGTATGCAGCAGTGACCTAACAAGGGTTAAGGAAAGGAGAACAAAATAATCTGTTTCTTTTTTTAGATTTAGCACCAAGGTGAAACAGTTAGAGACATGATTAAATAATCATTAATCAATAATTTTGGAGCTATTATCGGGAAATTGAGGTGCTGGAAAGGACAGCACAAATGAAACATGAGATATGAGAAGAGTGGTTCGGTTTTTTCATATTGGGAGAACAATAGCAGGTAGGAAGGTTGACTGACACCTTTGATACTGCATGACATGACATGATAGGTCATTTTCTTGACATGATGAACTCCAGATTAAGGACAGTCTGCATTCACAAAACAGGAAGTATAGTTGGTTTTTTTTTTTTGCTACTGTTGATGTAACTCTATCATTTTTCTTTTTTCCTCACATAGAAAACACTATTTTACATTCCTTAATCCTAAAGAGAAACATCTGAATATTGTCTAGCATGTTATGGTGGCTTTTACTTTCTTATCTCCTACCTTCCTTTGTCGACTTGAACAAATAATTCCCAAGAGGTTTCCCACTCATAAATCCCCTATGATCTGTATGGTCCAACCTTCTCTCTCTTTTTTTTCTTTTTTTGCATAAACAAAATGTTGTTAACAAGTCAGTGGACAAAGACCTGTGCTTTCAGGTCTTTTTGTTTTCCATTCCTATTTGATTCTTGCATATTGGTGTTTCTTACCAGGTACCTCAGTTGCTCAGATTGTGACAGATTACTGCCTTGATTGTGATTTCTGTGTTTTTGTGCAGCATGAGACTTCAGGCACCAAGGACCACGTGTGTTTCTGTGATGCTGTGTTTGTTTATTTAATGCTATATCGTCAGCCTGCTTAAGACTTTTTCTAATTATTATTAAGTGGAATAAGTTAAAACAAAAAACACTGTTAGTATGAGCACAGAGCAGCAGAGAACAACACATAAGCAAATTCAGCCTGGGATTAAAATGTAGCTTTATCATCAGTACCTCTCTATCCCTGCTGTACGTATAGAGACCTAAAGCAAAAGTCCACTTGAGTCATTATGTAAGTTACAGAGCGGTGCATAGAAGTCAATCAGCTTTTTAAAATCAGAAAATCATACAGTGATTGTTAGCTGGAATATACAGCAGGACACTTCTGATAGCAAAGATGGATTCTGTGCCTATGGGAATAACCAAAATATTGATCCCAGAATTTCTTCCTCCTGCTACTCCTACATTTCAGTTTACAAAGGTTGTAAATGTTATCAAGGGTTTAACAGGTGAAAGTTATTAAAAAACTATGGGTTTGAAGTATTCAATTAACTTATAGGTGATTCCCTTTGTTTAGGAGAAAACAAGGACAAAAATAGTGTTGTATAAAAACATTCCCATTCTTAACCATATAAAGCTTCATAGAAGAATCATATTTTGTCTTATGACTGTAGCCTTGAAAAAAAATTTGCAAGTGCAGATACAGTAGTGCCACTTACAAAACGAGTATCCCTTTACCTATAGTAAAGATTGTGTAGAGTCTTTCAGGTGCCCTAAGAAGCAATGAAAATTAAATCAGAACTTTCATCTTTTCACTACAGCATCCACCAAATCAAACGTTACCTATAAAGATTATCTGACGTATTTTGAAAGTACTTCAAAAATGAAATTAGCAGTTCTTTGCAGAATGACACTGCATGAAGCCTTGGGAGTGGGAAGAGCCCCAGGTAGCATTGTGAGCTGGTGATATTTCCCTCTTTTTGATACAATGGAAACAAAATCAATTGCATTTGAGTGTAATTTTAAACTCTGTCGTCTGCTAATAGAAAAAAAAGTTGATATTGAAAGGAAATTCGAGCTAGCACTCTATAAACCACTACAAAAGCTCTTTGTAGATCAGTTGCACTTGTCCTGGAAAACTGTTGACAGTGGCATAATTTGTCCCTAAGGAGTCTGGTAAGGCATTGCGCATCTGTAAACGTGGGGATCTGAAGCTGCTGTCAGATTGAAAGCAGAAGACTGGTAGAATCCAGTTGCTAAATCCTCCAGCTGCCCTGCCTGACCCTCGTTAGCATTTTCCTTCGTTTTTTCCCTGGATTCTTCGAGCAGATTTCCTATAAACTGTGGACTTAAATGCACAGATCCTGTTTTCTATAAATTTCAGACCAATAAATTCTGAACTGTGCCTCCAAAGATTTTGAACTGGATTTGTGGCTGTGCCTCTGTGTCTTAGTCATTCTTTGGCAAAGCTACGTCTTTGCCAGACATACTTGCTTACTGTCATTGTTCTTTGATCCTTGAGCAGTTTATGCCCAGTAATTGCTTTAAAATTAGAAGTATATCATTCTGACTTTGTATAAAAAGGATTCGTCCACCCGGGTCTCAAATTGCAGCACAAATTAATACAGTTCCATATCTATATAGCTTATCTGGATTATTGCTGTGGTAAATTAATTTTTAGTGCAAAGCAAAATTATCTTTTTAAATATTGGCCTTAGGTCGTTTCTCTTGTTTGATTAGCATTTGCATTTGTTACTGGGATGCATGGGGAGGAATTACCTGGTCGCTTTATATCAAAGTAAATTTTAATTATTCTCACGATATAAAAGTTTTTTTTTTTTTTTTGCCAAGTGTGTTTAATATTCTCTTGTAATTGCACATCCCATGAACTAGCATGTATTTATGACTTGATATTCACACTCAAATGAAACTGAATATTTATAAAAAACGTAATCTCAATGATCTGTATACTTCTAAGAGCATATCTTAAAGTAAGCATATTTCTTCTGTCTCTATTTAGTCATTCGTGACACTTTGGAAGATCCTGTTTCCAGAGGCAGTGCTGCCTGCCCCTTGGGCTACTTTCCCTGTGGCAATATCACAAAGTGCTTGCCCCAACAACTTCACTGTAATGGTGAGGATGACTGTGGGAATCATGCTGATGAAGACAACTGTGGTACGTTGTTAAGGCTTTTCTTTGTTTCTGACAGTCACTAAAACCCATGCCAAGTGGAACCAAGTGGAAGCCATATTAATATTGCGTGTTTTTCAGAGGATGTAGTAGATATTGGCTTTCCCTGATAAAGCCACTCAACAAGCCATTTGCTAGGAAGAAGGGACTACATTTGCATATCGTAGACGTTTATCCAATTTTATCATTTTTACGTTTCATTTTGATGTGTACATGTGTGTCTGAACTAGAAAAGGCCCGTGCTGTAGAAAGATGGACTTACATGCTGATGGTTTGTAATGCTTGACAAAACTGTTAAAGCTGGCTGGGAAGCATAATTTAAAATAATTTTCAAAGTTGGCCAGAAATCTTTCATGTCCTAAAACAGGTGAAAAAACAGAGCCGTGCTTGTATGAGTTCTGCAAGCTGCAAGGCTGCCAGATTTTGGAAATGTAGATATCTGAGGAAATGCTCATAGGCCGCTGCTGCCTCCATTTCCATGGAGTGAAGCTGCCACATCCAGCCAGGCAATTACTTTTGGCTCTAATCCCATTTAAAAGACCTGTGCCGCCTTCTAGATTTATGTCACTTCCACCATAAACATACTTTTCATTGCCAATGATTTAAATCTTGAACAAAATTGACTCTTGTTCTATTGTTCTTCTGTGTATAAGTTGTCTCTTAAGCAGTTGATGCATGTTCCATTTCTGTAGAGTACCAGAAAGTCTGTTGTGCAAGGACTTGCTAAAAGTGTACAGATTGATCAAGTGGGGATTTGGACACACAGTTTTGCAATGCAACAGGATATACAGGACAATAGAGCCTGCAAAGCAATTTGGCTGCAATATAGAATCCATTTCCAAGTACGACAATGAGCTAGAGACCATTTCTGAGAGCCTAAGCTGTAAAGGATGATGAGTTTTGTACCAGCACTCTGAGAAATTAGTGTTTTCTTCTTGCATCATAACCCAATATTCTCAAAATGCACACCTTGTATAATGCACTGTGGTCACGTTCAGCTCTAAAGCTGATATAGCAGTCAAATTTTATTGTTTGGCTAAAACAAGAGTAATTACATTGCCTGAGAACTGGAAATGTTCTCTTGGGGTTTCTGTAACATTCCTGCACTGAAGTATATGTGGAAATCATTGTTGGATAGATTTTTTCCAACCATTCATCTTCCTTAAAATCAAAGAAAGTGTTACCAATTAGTTCCCAAGACAAGGATGCTGTCCAGTTATTTCTTTATGCTGCAGTTTCCCAGGACTACTTCAGTGTGCCTGCTATTAAGCCAGGAGTTATAGCTAGTTTTTTATACCCTTTTTTAAAATTTACTTACAGTTTTCAGTTGAAATCATTGCTCCTAGTTACAGAAAAGCAATTAAAATTAAATTATTTCACTGAAGTAATCGTTTTGTGCAGCACTATAGGAACTGTTATTCTTATCCACAAGGTACTCCAATTTAGTAACTCAACTTTTAAATTCTTGCACGCTTCTATCTTGCATAAATTTGAGTAAGACTTTTGAGGTGGTAAGTCTACAACAGTCAAGGCAGCACATGTGGTGGGGATTGAGAAAAAATAGTGCAGGCCCTAAAAGGAATTCAGAAATACTAGATACATGCTTCTCAGGTACAACTAGCTAGAACAACTGCTCCACCAATTATGTCTTCAGTAATGACAAAGCCCTATCTTAAAACTACTGAAAAAATATTATAGCAAAGGTTTGCGTTTATTTTAAACCAGTCTGATAAAGAAAGGAGATGCAAAGCAAAAATAAACAGTAGTCCTTTCTTTGATGGGAAAGATGATATCAATGAAGACAACTTTTTTTTTTTTTTTAAAAAGCACTTCTTTTGAAGATAATAATGCCATTGCAAAAATTGGGTGAAATTACTTGAAAAAAAGAGATACTCTGAACATTATACAACCCAGGGTCCAGCTGTTCAACAGTAACTGCTAGATGTGCAGAGTATTAATAGAAACTGATTACCAAAATAGCACTTTTAAGAAATATCAATGAATTAAACAAGCAGAGAAGTAATTAGCATAAAAGCACACTTAGATACTCCGAGAGAGTTGCTTTGTAAAAACCTTTAAATGACATTACAACAAGAAGGCATAGATTTTTCTTCTATGGTCATCAATTACAGTGAGATACAGAAGCTATCTGGGTAGTCTGGTCTTGCAAATTACTTAAGTTGGAATCTTGAAATTCCACATACAGTATGGTTAATCAGCAGCTTAAAATCTGTCTGCTCAGTAACTTGCAAGATTATTGATTTTCTTGATTTGTTTAATGTTTATTATATGATGTACAAACCCATATTTAGATCTCACATGGCTGTATGGTAGGCTGGAAATAAAATTTGAAAGTCTTCTCTCCATGCATTGGTGCAAGAGAGACCGACATAACAGGAGTCTGAAAATACTGACATTAGTTGGTCAGAAGAAGGCTGGTATCTGGACCCTGTTATTAATGGTCCCCATTAACATACTCTGCAAGTTTACCAGGCTACTGAGAATGTGTCCCAGTCCCGTGGCCTCTTGGATGTTCCTCTAGACCCAGACATCTTTACTCTGTGCCCCCATTGTATGCATACCACAAACGTTTTATAGATGTAGATCAGAAACCATCAGAGATTTCACTAAATATTCCAGGTATCTTCTGGCAGTTCTGCCCCTTTCCTCTTACCTTGAGCGGAGTTCTGTAGTTTCCCTCTTTATTCATATGATGATACTTATGTCATTAGCTTTGAGAAGGTTTGCAATGGTTGTTCTCTTTCATGCACTGCGTGCCCTATAGCAGTAAAATATGATTACAAATATTTGAAATTAAAAGGATTCTTCACTTGCTGGTAGCTGTCTTCGGTTGTTCAGTAATAGCATTTTCTGTTAAATCCATGCACGTAACAATTAGCTTTGTGGAGCCTCCTTCACATCTGCTTTCTGTTTCCTTTCCACTGAGATCTCTATCAGAATAATAAATTAAAAACTAAGAGATGCATCCTGAAATTAGAATAATGGACAGAATCATATTTAGATCTGAGATGGCAACGGCAGTTCTTAACCTCAGGGTGAGGATGTCCTGTTTGGCAGATAAGCTTCAGCATTTCTTCCACTTCACAACCCTTCTGGAGAGGGGGTATCCAGAATGAAGCTGCTCATGTTTGAAAATTCACGTGCCTTTTTCACCCAGTTGGGTTTTCAATCAATAAAGTAGTGTGTGTGATATCCTGATGGGGAAGAGCTTGAGGCAGCTATAAGAGAAGAAGAGCAGCAATTTTTCAAGCCCTAAGTGACGACAGGTTCTTTTCAAACTATCATTAGGTAACCTTAAATGTGCATGGAAAATACAATCTTACCTTATGAACTTGAAAACATAGTCCATCAAGTAGCGGGTGGCTCTGCACATTTTCCATAAATACAATATTTTTAAACAAAAATGATTTATGTAAACTTTTATCATTTGTCATAAATGCTTGTGGTTTTGAGGAATTTTCCTTTCTAAGGTTAAGTATGGCAGTAAATTTTTCCCTGCTCTTCTGCCCTGTACTCATTCTTTCTGAAATACTGAGTTCTTCATAAAGCAACCAAGTATGATGTTTAGCAGTTTAGCCTACATCGTGTTTCTCTTGGAACTATTTTTGTATCTATGTTAACATAATAGTCACAAAGGTAGCAATTCCAGCATCCTTCTGTGCTCAAGCCTGATTTAAGTGCAGTAGGCAAAACAGCTTGAGTTTGATTGTCCCACCGAGGATATGCTTGATTTCACTCATAATGGCTTCAGCTTAATTTTCAAACTCTGGCCAGGTTGAAGTGGGAATTGTCTATGAAGAAAGTAGAATAAAAAGTTATTTCTCACATTGAAGGCTACAGTGTTCTTGCTACTCTAACCTAGCTCTGTGCAAGGCCATTTGAAGCCCAATGGCATGTTGAAAGAGCCAAGTGCATGCTCATGCAGAGAAGCATTTTGAGATCTCTGGCTTGACAGCAATATGTGGTGATAAGCAAAACAGAACTAAAACCAAATGCTAGACAAAAGCAACAGCTGTTGAAATCAAAACAAAAATTATAGTATTTCTGATGTAGCTCTTCAGCAAGTCCACCTGTGTTTTATTATCTTCAAGTACATTTGTTTATATGAACAAATTCTGATGTGACGAACTGCAAAAGCGTATGAAAAGTTAGATCGTAACACAAATGTACTCTTTGGACAGAAAGCAGTAAAGTTGCCAGAAATCATCAATGTATATTTTTCAAATCACCAAGTCTGAGTATCTTTAGACATCTTTTTTTTTTTCCCCTTTAATCTGCTCCTCTATTGAGTGTTACATTTAGAAAACTTCATTGTTCATTTTTATGCAACCTACCTAAGAGGGCTGAATGAGCAAATTTCTGTCCTAGATAAAAGTCAGCTTTCTTTGAATAAATATTTCAATTACTCATAGTGATAAAAAAAATGTAAGGTTATCAGTCTAATAACCTCTGTGTAATTACCAACTCTAGATAAATCAGTAGGTCGGTTAGCCTTTTGCACTCTTATTAGAAGGTACTGCAAAAATTCCCAGTGCAGCTAAACTTTGTATGTGTGGTACTTCACGTGTGATCTTCTAAGATCTTTGTTGCAATGCACTTTAGTGTTCCTAGCATTCCTCCATGCAATCAATGATTTGTTCATATATGTGTGGAATAGTTGTTTTGCTGATAAGATGGCAGCGAATGGCATATGATGATGGAAAGTCTTCCAGCAAAAGAGCAGAACTGCTTGCCTCAGTTTTTTGCTCCAAAACCAACCATTGGCTCTTGAGTTCAGGTTGGTACAAAATTGTACGTGGAGAAATACAGAAACAGAATCATGTTCCAAAAGGAGCTTTTCTGCTGCCAGAGAACGCTGTGTTTTACCTGGGCAATTTGAAAGCATGTTATGGTATTTCTTGAAGTCTAAGACAAAGCCCTACTGGTTTGTCTCTGATACATTTAGAACTCTGAGTCTGTTACAG